GGACAGTGGGAGGGTAAGTGCAGAGGGTGGGGTGGGAACTGGGTGGAGGGGAGCTTTGGGGGGAAAAAAAGAGGAACAAATGTAATAATCTGAACAATAAAGATTTCATAAAAAAAAGAAATGGGAAATACAGCAACACACAATATGAACTACTATGTAATTGTAAACTATAAATCAGTCCCATTTGTTCTGCAACTATATTAAAATCTTGCATTTTTCATCGTGATGGGAACCAAAAGCATAGACAAATGAGTCTCATCTGATGATGGTTTGTCCCTGTCCCACCAGATGATGGCTCTGCCTCCAGGTCTTGTGACCTCGTGCAGCCTGTGCTCTCAGTGCCTGACCTGGCATTTGAGGGAGACTCCATCCTCTCCCATTCTGTCCTATTTTCCTTGAACCAAAGCCAGCACTTTATGTATGTCTTCCCTTAGGATGAGGAACCCCTTCCTCTCAGAATAGAGGTCCTCAAGCTTTTCTGCAGATATAATTTGGGGGATCTTGAGCCACAGGTTCTTCAACTCTGCCAAGAGAAGAATGAATCTGAAGTCAAACACAGTTAAAAGTTAAACTGCATCCCCTGCTCTTGATTTGGTTTGGACCAGACCCAAAGTATAAATATTTGCTTCCACTTTGCTATAAATTTCCTTCCAGGTCTGACTTAAATGTAAAATTAAATAAAAATTTCTTGGAAATAGAGGATGGTTATATTTCATTTATATTTTCTTTGCCTTTGAAATTTAAATTTTCTGCCCTTTTTGGCTGATTGTTTGCTAGCTCCTCATTGATAGATAAAGGTTCCATATGCTAAGAAATATTCTAGGGTGCCAGAAACAAGGAAAATAAAAACCTGGCAATATGTTATTGGTTTATTTGCTCATTTGAACTTACCACTCCATGTCTGTTTTCCAAGTGTCAATTAAAAACAGCAACAAAGTAATATCTTGGTTTTGGCTTAGGAGAAGAAATGGTTTCAACATCAATACAATGAACACCTCTTAGCTTATTAATGTTAGACGAGAACAATAAGAAGTGTGACACTAATGCCATAAGTGAGCTTAACTTTAGCCATGTGTTTATTTTTTCCTTTTGCTTTTTATAAGTGGATGGAGTTTCCATAACAAGTGGCACCAGGCTGTTGCTAGTAAACTCCTGTCCCCTCTTTGGTGTGTTTTTAATTAGCCAATTTCCTCTTTGAGCCTCAGTTTCTTCTCTTGCAAAACACAGCACCAGTTTGTTACTTTATCCCTTTTGGAAGACAATTGAGTAGAACATGAGATCATGTCTACACTTTTGTGTTTCTTGGAAGAGAGGTTCTTTGTAGCATTTTTAGAACTTATTTTTTTCCTGGAAGAACAGGTGGATTCACATGAGATGGTGAATAGGTGGATTCACTGGAGCTGCCACTGAGAATGCAGACTAGGAAGTGGACCTGCCTGGGTGGTTGGTTGATGATCATACACAACCCAAAGCTGTGGATTATTTGCTTCTAGGCTCAGACATCTCTTTAGTTGTTCTTTAACCATGGTCCCATCTTAAAGACTAGGTGAAGGAGGAGGTTGGATTTGATAGAACTTTAATACTGTATATTTGGAATAAATACATCTCACAACAGTACCTGTAACTTTCTTTCAACTTTCTGGAGACCTACTTTTTACTCTTCTCCATCTTGTCTTGTTGTGGAGCTATTCTTTTTTTTCTCATTTAAATAAAGTTTATTTTTTAACAGGTTATTTAATTTTGCGAATGCCATGATTATAGGAGTGTATAGTGGTGACACATCTTTTCCTTAACCATGCTTTTTACCTTCTGCACAAAGGTAAAAACTTTTGTTAATCTCAATGGTATAAAACAGAGGTCAGCAAACTTTTTCTCCAAAGGTTCAGATAGCAAATATTTTAGGCTTTACAAGCCACATAAGGTCTCAGTCATATATTCTTTATCACCCCTTTAAACATAAAATCCATTGTTAGCTTGCACCATACAAAAACAGATTAGACCAAATTTGTCTTGCAGGCAGTAATTTGCTGACCCCTGGTATAAAATATCTACTTTGTTTTGTTGGAGAAATTGCTCTCTTCAGACTTCTTGACAGTCTTGCCTGAAGGAGAAAGGCCTGATTTCAAACTGAATGTAATTTGTGACAAACGTAGAAATGGAGAGTTCCTGCTCACTTTTGACTCTCCCAAGCAATTTTCCCACTCACTCACTCACTCAATTAATTTGTTGAGCACCTACTATGTACACTCTTAAATATCTTTGTGTTAACAGAGATTTCCAGTGTTTCTTCCTGAAAAGGCAGTTCCTCTAAACCTGTAATTATCAGGTCTTTGTACTCGTGTTTTAGGGCAAATCAGGACTAAAATCTCTACTAGCAATCAAGAGGAATCTAGCTAACAATGATATCCTTGCACACAATACTGACACACCCTTTTTAAAATCACATCCTAGAGGAAAATGATAACTATTATTACTTTAAAAAGATACTTCCTTTCCTCCCATAGGGTACTTTTTTTTAAATTCTCAAATCTAGAACATCCATCAAATAATTTCTTCTCATTTTCCTAGTTTGTTGCCATGCAACATAAAGTCTGACTCTTCATTAGCTTTCTATTTGAGTCTTAAAACAATACATTTAGGAGTGAATAGTACTTCTGAAGCAATTTACACTCCCACATTTCATCTCAGGGAAGGAGTGGTCATGATTCTGCTCCTTCAGGATAAAAACTGTAACTGTCAACTTTCTGAATATTCCTGCTAGTTTTCCAAGGTGAAGGAAGACTTTTGAAAGTGGCCAAAAGGAGCACAGCACTTCGGTATTAAAATAGAAAGGTTGCCCCCACTCCAGATCTTCGGTACTGATAACTACAACAATCGGAATACCCACCACAGAAACATGGCACATTTTGTAATTAGAAGTCTGACCCTCAAGAGGATTCTGTGGAGAAGCACATGGGGATGGGCACAGAGAAGGATACGTTTGTCAGAACCAATGTTCAATTGTGGTGGACCTGAATCATCCTTCTCATCTGCTTCGTCTTCTTCGTCTGTCACATCAGCATACTGGGCCAGGAGGGCAGCTTTTCTCTGCTTCTCCTCTTCTGACACCATCCTGGGCTTCACCACAATCTGTGCCTGTTTCTCAATTAGGGTAGCAATGGCCTGTACCTCGTCTTCTTTTTTCACTTTGGTGACAACATTCTGAGTTTCTGACCATCGTTCCACAATCTCCTTGCATAGGGTAAGAAGGGAATCTTCTTCCAGGAAAGCAGAGAGAATGCCCTCCAGAGCGTCCAGCTTTTCTTCCTCCTCCTCCTCCTGCAGGACACCCAGGATGTAGGCGCAGTAAACAGCTCGGTCCACTCCCAGCGCCTCCAACCGTCCATCCAGCCAGGATCCGAAACAGCTGCCCTCGCCACTGCCTTCGCTGGAGGCAGGTGCGTCCACTTCACTGGGTGCCACCGTCTTGGGGGAGATATTCTTATTTAAGTACAATAGGACCTAAATAAACCAAACAAAAAATTATCAAAAAGTATCTTTAAAAAATATGCTGTAGAATGAAAAAAGAAATTGAATAAAAATTATAACATAATATTATATATATAGGTTTGAATTCATATGTATAAAATATGTATATATATATATATATATAACAAAAATACACATTTATAAGAATTCAAAAACATATGCATTGAGCATACAAGGTATCACTACCTTTGGAGAAGGAAAGAGACAGGAATGGGAAAAAGAAGAAGAGAATATACATATAAAAATAAACAAAGGAGAACTCTTATATTGGAAAATAATGTTGGTGTTCATGAACTGAGGAGTATGAATAATTAATCCCTCTTTTTAAAAAAATCCTCACCCAAGGATATTCTTTCATTGATTTTTAGAGAGAGTGGAAGGTCACCAGTTGATTCCTGGACAGGGCACATACCCAGGTTGTGGGTTAGATCCCAAGTTGAGGCAACTGATTGATGTTTCTCTCTCACTCTAAAATCAATGAAAACATATTAAAAGTTTAAAAATAAAGAAATTCGCCTTAACCAGTTTGGCTCAGTGGATAGACCTTCAACCTGCAGACTCAAGGGTCCCAGGTTCAATTCTGGTAAAGGGCATCTACTTTGGTTGCGGGCACATCCCCAGTAGGGAGTGTGCAGGAGGCAGCTGATCAATGTTTCTCTCTCATCAATATTTCTAACTCTATATCCCTCTCTCTTCCTCTCTGTAAAAAATCAATAAGAGAGAAACCAAGATGGAGGCATAGGTAAAAACCTGATATTGCTGCCTCGCACAACCCCTTCAAATATACAACTAAAAGAAAAAACGGACATCATCCAGAACCACAGGAAGGCTGGCTGAGTGGAAATTCTACAATTAGAAGGAAAGAGAAAAGCAAACTGAGACTCAGAGGAGG